ACGATGTAAAAATTATACATACAACTACCACATTGAGTCAGTAATACTTGTTTTAATTCCTGACCACTGACAATCCCTTTTTGTCTCATTTGTAATACATTCTGCATCCTTGTAGGTGACAAATTATTTCCTACCCTGCAACACCTCCCACTGGCAAGATGTCATAAGCCTCTCATTGCTCTATCGCTACTTCTGTGGAAAATTCTCAAACCAACTATATTCCTTAGTTCCACCAGTTCTAACCTTGAAGGCTAGGGACCACCATGCTATACACATTGTAGTAAACCACCCTCATTCCCTCCGTGTTCCATTGGTGAAAAGTAAGTTCCATTTGAGAAGCTTCTTCCTGCAAACCACTGCTCTGTGAAACTGACTCCCAAGAGAATGTTTTCCAGATTACTAAAATCTTAACCTGTTCAAGTTTAGGCTTAAGTGCTATTTACTCCAGATATCTGCATAAACTGTACCCCTTACCCAACAAGGCTGCTCCTCGGCCTTGTTCAGGGGGGAAACACACTGTAAAAAAAAAGAAATTTGTAATGTAAATGTTTATCTAATATACATGTAGTAACCTAATTCCCTTAGTAATGCTTGCATTAATTCCTCAACTTTTCCCTCCCTCCTGGGTAAGATGATAAACTACGTCCAGCAGCAAGGGTGGTAGCACCTGTTAGGGTTCCAGCTATGGGCAAATAGTTAACTATTACCAGCAATACTTTTTTGAAAAAAATTATTACCAGCAATACAATTTTGAAGGAAAAATATTACCAGAAACAGATTTTTGACAAAATATTACCAGCAATAAAAAATATTGTCAGCATTAAATAACCCATTTGAGGTTGATATGCCATAAAACAAAATAAACCAAACCAGTTTAAACAATAGAATACATATTCTATTCATATGGATCTATCCTAAAAATGTTGCCGGCATTAAAATAACCCATTGAAGTCGATATGCCATAAAACAAAATAAACCAATCTAAACAATAGAATACACATTCTATTCATACGAATCTATCCTAAAAATGTCGTTGACATTAAATAACCCATTGAGGTCGATATGCTGTAAAACAAAATAAACCAAACCAATCAACTTTTTCCTCATTTGTACTGCATTTTTTATGGTAAAACCATAAATAATATCATAAATGTTTATCTACTATTCCTATAATAGTCCTATTCTGTCACTAGTGCCAGTTTTAATTCTTGACCATTCATTTTTTTCTCATTTCTTAATTCCGTTTTTCGCAATTGTAATGCATTTCAATAGTAGAATCATGTAAACTACATTCCAAATTCCAGTAAATTGCGTATTAAATAATGAACTCCTATCACCAAAAATTTTTGGTAGTATTAGAAGAGTTTCATCAAAATTTATCTCTCCTGGTTTTTTTGGCAAATATAATTTACATATTTTTCATGTTCCACAGGGGACAATTTCCTTAATAATAAACAAATTTTCTTTTCATCATTCTAATGCGAACAATCCCTTTTGAAGATCCCTTTGTATCTTCTATAATAAGCTGGAAAAGTTATTCTGTCATTTCTATTGTATACAAATTTGCTGAAAAACCTTCTTTGTTGTAGTTGCAATTGTAATTGCTGTTTGTGTTGTCATTTTTGTTGCTGCAATTGTTGTTCTTGCTGTTGCTTCTGTAACGCCAACATTTCAACCATGATAGCTTTTAGTTCTTCCATTTTGCCATAGTCTGCTGAACTAATCCTTGTGTAAATTCAAGGAATACTTGCGAATCCTTGTTGGCACTTTTTTGATGTCAATGAACACTTGTTTGACACTTTTGTGATGCCAATGAATACTCGTTGTCACTTCCATAATGCTCATTGTAGTATAGACTTTGTAATTGCAGATACAACTATAGTACGCCATTGAACAATACTGGTGTCAGACGCCTTCGAATAATCTCACACTAATAGTACTTGCTCAATAATACTCGCTGGAAAAGTAATCTGAATAGAGAAATATTATAGTGAATAGAGCAGAGAATACCAGTCCATATAGTTATAGAGGATAGAGGAGAAATAGTGATTTGAATAGTAATAGAGGATAGACCAGAATTAGACATCAATCTAGATGCCATGCAATTTCCTATATATGCGTTTCCTCTATGGTCACATGATCCACTTAATTTAATAATGGAATCACATGTGTTTGCTCACTGGTGATCTATGTTCAAACTGAAGTGTTGGCAGCAACAATTTATTCCTATATGATATAAATGTTTAACTACTATAACATATATGGGAGAAGTGATGAAAAGTTCTTAGCTCAACCATCCCTCAAAAACCAGTATGTTATGATTTGGAATTTTTTCAGTTTTGGGGAAGTGAGTAAGGCTGAGAACTTTTCAACACCACATCATAATAGCCCTATTCTATCACTAATGTATGCCTTAATTCTTGAACATTTTTTTTTTTTTTTTTTTTTTTTTTGTAATGCAATCCTGTAGTAAAATTATTTAAACTGCATTCAAATATTAAATGGTTATCATGAGGGAGTGATGAAAATTAATGACCCAACCAAGAAGTCCCTCAAAAATCAGTATCTTGTCAGTTTTGGGGAAATGGGTCAAGTCGAGATTGTTTCAGTACCTTATCTTAATAGCCCCATTCTGTTAATTCTTCCACTTCATCATAGCAAACTGGGCATCATCAAACATTATATTCTGTTTTTGTGAATTTCTATAGCATTATTTAAAAAATCTGGGTTCAGACTATACATAAGTCAGTTAATACAACTGATATCAACATTTCTGATACCACTCTGGCACAGTTATATCTATCCAGGACAACTTGCTTGAATATATCCTTTGTGTGACACATTTTGTCCTTTAGGACTTTATTGGAATAAATTTTTTTATGTTGGTACGATTTCACATCCCCACGAATGAGGGATGCTGGGAATTTAAATTTTTTTTGAGTGTATATAATCTAGCCAATTTCATTTAGATTCTTTTTCTTTTTGCTTCCATCACTTCTGTTATCACACTTTCTAATACTGATGGAAGTTTCCTTCCTAACCTTTTGTTTGAAGTGGTGTGGAATATTAACATTTGATTTTGTTAATATTTCTTTCTAGTTATATATGCTATTCATTTATAGATTCATTCATTCCTTTTCTAGAACTTATCAACCCTTTGCAGGTTATTTAAAGCCAGAAGATATTTTTAGATTGTAAGAATTTTTTGAATGAAGGGGCATAATAATTGTTTATTGATAAAAAAAAAACTTTTGATTATGTCATTATTTATAGAAACTATCTTGCTTGTTGGCTATTGTGGCATGTGGAGGCTTCCTTATTTTGCCCGATTCAGCAGTAGCAGCAACGGAAGTCACAGAAATCATAAAATCTCTGACCAAGCCCTATACAGGCCGTTTTCCATTTTTCCTTTCCAGTGGTTACAACCTTCAAGGCTCAGCTCAAATGGCTATTCGACCTTTGCCGCAGAAGACATGAGGCCTATCGTGGCAGCTTGACTTCAGATTTTCTTGTTTTTTGTGGGAACAGGTGGAGAAATCTCCCTTCAAGACACCTACCCAAAGGAAAAACCTTCACACAACCCTTGCTGCAGAAGACTTGTACCAGTTCTAGCAGTTTCAGTCTCAGATTTCTCGTTCCTCCCATGGGAAAATGCATCTACTCAAGACCTTTGTTATCTAGGAAACCCAATTCTCTTTTCTGCAAAATACTAATATTTTTCACTCTTTCAACCACAAATAAAAGCTGTTAAACAGTTATTTCATGCCTTGGGTTTTGTTCATTTCATTCTCACTGTCAAGCATACACAAAACACACACACACATGTACCCAATCAGGAAAAATTCCTACATATTTTCTCTTCAAATGACATGTACCATTCATTTTAGCTCTTTCTACTATTGGTAGACCTCAAGTGATATGGTTTCTAAAGTATGCCGGATCAAACAGTGGTGGCAGTTGGCTATTTTCAGACAATGCATGAAAAATAGAAAACATACAAATAGATACAAACATGGAGGCAAAGAAAATGGCACCTAACAATTTTAATGTACTTGATGTCTGCTGTTTATTATGGCTTCTGCTAGAGAATATAATCAAGCATTTGCAATCTCACATTTTCTTTACCAGGAGCAGAAATAACAATCAATCTGCTCATAGACATCCTAACAACTCCATTTTCTCAGAATGTACAGCTGAGCTGATAGGCCTGTGTTATTCTTGCAGTTAATCCACTGGTCGATGCTCCAATATAGGAAAAACCAATGCATGCCTTTTAGTCATCATGGTGTAGCAGGGTTCAGAAGTCAATGGATTCCTCTTCAATAACTCTGAATAACAAACTTGGTAATATGGGGAAACAATAATAAAATTAAGCTTGTAAAGAATTTTGATGCTTACGTCTCCAACCAACAAAGTATGGAGACCTTTAATCCTTGAGTATTAGGCTTTGGCTAGACCTGTATCTAAAACGGTTTACTTTGATGACATTCATTCCTGATGAAGAAGTTATTGATGGAAACAATATCAAAACAAAGAATAGGAATATTAAAAAAAAAACAGTTTTATAAATGATGCTTGCTTATATGCTATAGCAGAAGCCAGTGTAAGCAGCAGACATCAAGTACTTTAATGTTGTTAGGTGCCATTTTTTTTGCCTCCATTTTTGTATCTATTTGTATGTCTTTTTTTTGTTTCTCTTTTTTATGCATTGTCTGAAAATAGCCAACTGCCATTGCTTTTTTTGGCAAGAACAAATACTTTTCTGATGTTCCCCTCCATTTTTATCTCTTTCAAGATATTCCATTTTTTGCATTTTATTTTTCATTCTTTTTTCTCTTTTCTGTATTTTTTTCTCTCCTCTTCCATTCTTTGTTTCTATGATGCCTGCTTCTTTTCTTTCCACTTTATATATATATATATATATATATATATATGTAAAATGTTTCTTTATATTTGTACCTGTTTCTTATGGACTTCGATTCTCTCTGTTTCTTTATTTGATGTTTTCTTTAATTTATGTCTATTTTTCTACTCTCTTTCCTGCATTCAAGCCATCTGTCTTTCCTCTTTATTTCTTTCTTTCACTTTATCCAATTCACTTTTTAGGCTTCTTTCTCTCATTTTCACTCTCTTTGAGAATTTCTTTCTTTCCTTCTCACTCCACTCCAATCACTCACTTTGGTTTCTTGCTATTTCACTTTTTTCCCTCTCTTTCTTTTTATCATTTTTTTCTCATACTTTCTCCCACTGAGAATTCCTTCCTTTCTTTCCAATCACCACTTGCTAATAATTTTGGATTCTCTCTGATTTCACTCTTTTCCTCCTCTTTCTTTGTATTACTTTTTCTTCATACTTCCATATATTTTTTCTTTTCTTCCCACTCTGCAAAAATGATTTTGGTTCTTTCTGATTTCACTCTTTTTCCCTCTCTTTCTTTTTATTACTTTTACTCCTACTCCCGCCTTTAGAGAACTCATTTTATTCCTCCTCTCTCCCCTCCCTCTAATTATTTAGGTTTCTTTCTGATTTCACTCTTTCCCCTCTCTTTTTTTTTATTACTTTTACTCCTACTCACGCCTTTTAGAGAACTCATTTTATTCCTCCTCTCTCCCCCCTCTAATTATTTAGGTTTCTTTCTGATTTCCTCTTTTTCCCCTCTCTTTCTTTTTATTACTTTTTACTCCTACTCCCCGCCTTTAGAGAACTCATTTTATTCCTCCTCTCTCCCTCCCTCTAATTAAGTAGGTTTCTTTCTGATTTCACTCTTTTTCCTCTCTTTCTTTTTTTACTAGTTATTCTCATTGCTCCCTCCCTTAGAGAATTAATTTCTTTCTTCTTCACTCCCCTTCCTCTAATTATTTTGGTTTCACCCTGATTTCACTCTTTTCCCTCTCTTTCTTTTTATTACTTTTACTCCTACTCCCGCCTTTAGAGAACTCATTTTATTCCTCCTCTCTCCTCTCCCTCTAATTATTTAGGTTTCTTTCTGATTTCACTTTTTCCCTCTCTTTTTTTTATTACTTTTACTCCTACTCCCACCTTTAGAGAACTCATTTTATTCCTCCTCTCTCCTCTCCCTCTAATTATTTAGGTTTCTTTCTGATTTCACACTTTTTCCCTCTCTTTCTTTTTATTACTTTTACTCCTACTCCCGCCTTTAGAGAACTCATTTTATTCCTCCTCTCTCCCCTCCCTCTAATTATTTAGGTTTCTTTCTGATTTCACTCTTTTTCCCTCTCTTTCTTTTTATTACTTTTACTCCTACTCCCGCCTTTAGAGAACTCATTTTATTTCTCCTCTCTCCCCTCCCTCTAATTATTTAGTTTTCTTTCTGATTTCACTCTTTTTCCCTCTCTTTCTTTTTATTACTTTTACTCCTACTCCCGCCTTTAGAGAACTCATTTTATTCCTCTCTCCCCCTCCCCTCTAATTATTTAGGTTTCTTTTCTGATTTCACTCTTTTCCCTCTCTTTCTTTTATTACTTTTACTCCTACTCCCGCCTTTAGAGAACACATTTTATTACTCCTCTCTCCCCTCCCTCTAATTATTTAGGTTTCTTTCTGATTTCACTCTTTTTCCCTCTCTTTTTATTACTTTTACTCCTACTCCGCCTTTAGAGAACTCATTTTATTCCTCCTCTCCCCCCCCCTCTAATTATTTAGGTTTCTTTCTGATTTCCTCTTTTCCCTCTCTTTCTTTTTATTACTTTTACTCCTACTCCCGCCTTTAGAGAACTCATTTTATTCCTCTCTCTCCCCTCCCTCTAATTATTTAGGTTTCTTTTCTGATTTCACTCTTTTCCCTCTCTTTTTTTTTTTATTACTTTTACTCCTACTCCCGCCTTTAGAGAACTCATTTTATTCCTCCTCTCTCCCCTCCCTCTAATTATTTAGGTTTCTTTCTGATTTCATTCTTTTTCCCTCTCTTTCTTTTTACTAGTTATTCTCGTACCCCCTCCCTTAGAGAATTAATTTCTTTCTTCTTCACTCCCCTTCCCCTAATTATTTTGGTTTCACCCTGATTTCACTCTTTTCCCTCTCTTTCTTTTTACTAGTTATTCTTGTACTCCCTCCCTTAGAGAATTAATTTCTTTCCTCTTCACTCCCCTTCCTCTAATTATTTTGGTTTCTCCCTGATTTCTGTCTTTTTTCCTCTCTTTCTTTTTAATAGTTTTTCTCCTACTCCATCCTTTAGAAAATTCATTTTATATTCACTCCCCTCCCTCTAATTATTTTGATTTCTCTCTGATTTCACTCTTTTCTGCCTCTCTATCTTTTTGTTAGTTTTCTCCCTCCTTTAGAGAATTCATTTCTTTCTTCTTCAGTGCCCTCCCTCTAATAATTTTGGTTTCTATCAGATTTTACTCTCCCATTTCTGACTTTTTATGATTTTTTACTCATACTCTCTCCTTTTAAACATTTACAGCTTTTTTTCCCACTCCCTTCTTAGCTTTTTCTCTAATTCTACTCTTTCCTTCCCTTTATTTTTTTTTATTTCTTGATTTCTGTTTCTCTTTACACTGTTTTTAAAGTTTTCCCTTACTTTCAATTTCTGTTACTGTTTCTTTCTTACTTTCTCTTTTTCGGTTCGTATTTTCATTTATTATGCTTTTTTTTCCTCTCACTTAGTACAACAATTTAAATATCTGGGAAGTGTTTTAAAAACAAAGTGCAGCACTTAAATCCAAAGGTGCACTGGAATAGTGAAGGATGCCTTTCAAAAGCTAAACAAGGTATTAAGAAACAAGAAAATATTCATTAGAAACAAAGAAAAGAGTACTGAACTGTTAAGTAATATCAGTTTTAAATGGCAGTGAATGCTGGACAATCTATTCACAGTTGAAGAAGAGACTTGAAGCAATAGAAATGTGGTTCTACAGAAGGATGCTGAGAAAACCATGGATAGAATATGTGAGCAACAGCAACGTTTTAGAGTAAATGGAAAAAAAATGACTCTTAAAATCAGGAAGTTGAAACTTCTAGAGCACATAATGAGGAAAGAGGGTTAGGAAAATTGATACATACAGGAGACGTTGAAGGCAAAAGTGGGACAGAGGAAAACAATGTGTGACTTACCTAGTGAGCTTGAGTAAATGGATGACAGAACAGGGTTGAGGAGAGACAGCAAAAAGACAAAATTTATTAAGAGCTACAAAGGACAAGAAATTGTGGAGAGCCATGATCACCAATGCTCTGAAGGGATACAGCACATAGAAGAAGAAGAAACTTGTGTAAATGGATGACAGAACAAGGTTTAGAGGAGATGACAAAAAGACAAAATTTATTAAGAGCTACAAAGGACAGGAAATTGTGGAGAGCCATGATCACCAATGCTCTGAAGGGATACAGCACATAGAAGGAGAAGAAACTTGTGTAAATGGATGACAGAACAAGGTTTAGAGGAGATGACAAAAAGACAAAATTTATTAAGAGCTACAAAGGACAGGAAATTGTGGAGAGCCATGATCACCAATGTCCTGAAGAGTATGGCATATAGAAGAATTATGAGCTTGTGTAAATGGAAGGCAGAACAAGGTTTAGGAGAGATAACAAGAAGACAAAATTTATTAAGAGCTACAAAGGACAGGAAATTAAAGAGAGCCATGATCACCAACGTTCTGAAGGGATATGGAACACATAGAAGAAGATACTCCCCTTCATGATTTCTCTAAATTTTAACCCCTCTGTTTCTCTCTTGTGCCTCTTGTGGCTTTTACTGTTCTGTGCATCTCTTAAGTAATTTTAATATCATACCATCAATCCCTCCACCCTTTTGCAAACTTAAAAACAATTTTTCTTTTTGTTTAGAAAGTGCTTCAATAGACAGATCATCCACAGTAAATTTGTGCCCAGGTTTTCACAATTCTTGACAGGTCTTCTATTTTTACAATGTGGAATACTTAATAACAAAAATAATCAAAACATAAACAAAAACAGTCTAAATTAAATCAACTAAATTAATTATATATCCAAAACACATGGAAAAAAAAGTTAAATTTTAAATTCTCAGCATCACTCTTTTATTCTTGGGCATGTGTAGTTGAATCAATGTAAACAAACTTAGTCAAATGAATTTTGAAAAATTGAAACATATATATATATAGATATATATATATATATTTTCCGATTTCTTTTTGAATTTGTATTTCTGATGATTTGGATTGTGATTACGATTCCAATGTAATAAATTATAACCATGGAATATTAGTGTTCAGCCTTTTATATTATATTCTTACTCTGTCCTGGAGATTGAGTTCTACCTAACTAATATCTGTCTAATATTATGTACATGGCTATGTTTTTCGAAAAAAATGTTCTTTAAGAGAACTAAGATCAGAAAGGTGACAAGTAAGTCTATAGGAGATTGTGGTTGTTGTAAAACCAATATATGTAGCGGGTTTATTATTAACATCAGAGATACAATCTCTGAATGGGCATGTAAATTGATACACTACATTGGTTTTTTGTAGAGGATTTAATTGTGTGGTTGTAGGGTTATTAGAGACTATAAGGTCAATTGTTTTAAATTTTTTATAATATATGATGAACTTAACTTGTTTATTATTATTAATGGGTATTATTAATTATTATTAATAACATTTCTACCTATTATGTTTTTGAGTGGTGTTTGATCATGTTTGCAATTATTATGCATTAGAACAGCTCATAATCAGACATTCATTGTCTGTTATATTTAATAATATACGTTTAAATATATATATATATATATATATATATATATATATATTCAAGCCATTAGATGTTATTAAATAAATGTACTGTTTAATAAATAAATAAAAAGCATCTACTCAAATATGAGTATCCATCAAAAATAATGTTTAAATAAATAAATTGAATATATAAACATATATATATATATATATAAAAATATATATATATATATCCAAGTATATAATTGGTGTATACGGAATGAATTCCAATAACCAACAATTACTATTCTTAAAAGAGTGCTCAATACAAAGTAGAGAAGATATAATTATTTATTTAGAAATAATTTTTATGTTTATGTTATAAATTTATAATTTTTATGCTTATGTTATGAATTTTCTAAATAAATAATTATATATATATATATATATATATATATATATATTTTAACTCAATGAATACTTGTTTGACACTTTTGTGATGCCAACGAATACTTGTTGTCACTTTTGTAATACACATTGTAATAGAGACTTTGTAATAGTAGATACAACTATAGTACATCATGGAACAGTACTGGTGTCAGATGCCTTCGAATGTCACTCGCACTAATAGTACTTGCTCGATGATACTGGGATAATGGGATCGGCTGTGTTTGCTCACTGGTGATCTATGTTCAAACTCAAGTGTCAGCAGTGACACTATTCCTATATAACAATGTAAATCAAACATTTAAACAAATAAATTGAATATATACACATATATATATATATATATATATATATATATATATATCTATAAGTATAAGAAATTATACTTGTCTGGAAAACCTTCGGTGTCTTGATTTGCGAATAATCAAACCAATACCAAAGGGAAAAAAAAGGTATAAAAAAAAAAAAGAACATGTACGTTAGCCTAAAATAATTGTCTAGCATGCAAGTCCAAAGTCCAGCCTTCCTTGATGATCTTCCTAGGTGAAACCTTGGTAGGTTTGTCTAGTTTTCTAAGTTTAACTATATGTATAAGTATATATATATATATATATATATATATATATATATATATATATATATAT